TTTAATATTTATATTATTACTGTTATTATTATTATAAACTTCAAACAACATTTTACAAATCGGACATTATAAATTCGAACGACTATATAAAATCGGAACAAAAGCAAAGTTTGTCCCTATTAATTACAAATACTAATTGGTACGGTATTAAAATTGCGTATTGCGTGGTGCATTATACGGATTGAAAACATTTAGTCGAGCACTATATAATGTTTCCCATGCAGTCGAATGTTCTGATCTGTATGTACGGAGAAGTCTGGACAAAACATCAGGCATTGGATATGCTCCTTGTAAATCAACCATTACATAATGGTTAGGGTGAATGTGGGCGATAACGACATTAGGGGGGGGGGGTGTAAATCGAACGAATCGTTCGTTTATATAATGTATAAAGTTAAAGTTATGTCAAATCAGCTTATTTATTATTAAAGATAAAGATAAAGATAAAGATATATCAAATCAATAATAATAATAATAATAAAAATAAAAATAAACGAATAGTAATATTTCTATTATTAGGTGTACAATAATTACAGTTACTTTCTTAATATGAGAATCTTTTGAATTTTGAAAGATAACAAACAAAAAATTTGTGGGAAATATAGTGGATAAGAAAAAGGAAAAAAAATCTAATATAAGTTGGAAGCGTGTCAAAAAGGAAAAAAGGTTTTAAAAGTAAAGGATAAATAAAAAAAAACAAACCTTTTTTAAAATCGCTCCAAATGGTTAGCTTATTATTATATTATATTATATTATATATATATATATATATATATATATATATATTATGTATTGTTTATTATATTGAAATGGTTCCAATATAACAAACACTTTTAGAAGTCAACGAGAAAACTCGATTACTAATATATATATTATATATATATATATATATATATTTTTGGTAAAAAAAAAAAAAAAAAAAGAAAATCATGATAACAAATCAAATGTCAATAATTTGATTTGATTAACATGGGTAAATCTGAAAAAAATGGATAAGCACAACCCTTTTATAAATTCTCAAAAAAGTAAATAGTTAGCTTCTGTACATGTCAGTTTTCTTGAAACCTCATATCAATCGACATATCCCATCATAAATTTTTAATTATTTTTATCATTACTTTATTGCTATTTTATTGCGGGAGCTTTTTCTTACAGCTTTATTTTAAAAGATGTAATCAATGAATTATTTTTATTTTGTACTTTCCCTTTACGCACAAGGAAAAAAAAGCTGCATATGTTTATTTCTTAAAAGCAAATTTAGAACAATTGGTAATTCATGGTTTTACTAACTTGATACTTAAAACTCTTGTTTACTACTAAAATTAACTTTTTTTTTTACAACAAAAAACATGTTAGAAAATAGAAATAAGAATTTAGAATATTATTTTAACAATTAATTCACTCGTTCACAATTTAACATAAAAATTTATACAAAATTCACAATTTAAAACAGTAAAATTAAAATTTTAATTCAAAAAATTCAATACTTAATATATCACATTCACAACTAAGTAACATTATATTTACAACTTAATACGTATTATTTATAGTTTTGTTTCTTCCTAACACCATCAAATCTCGATCTCTTACACTTTAACAAGCTCCAAAATAATATTTGGATAAAAAATAAAAATTCATAATTTAATAATATCTTAAATACAATTAAGTGGTTGAATAAAAAAGTAGAGAGCAATGAGATAGATATAAAGTGAGCACTAAGCTTTTGAGAGAAAAATTAGTCAAGAGAAGAAAGCTCAAGATTGAAAACCATCAAATGTAGACCACTTACATTTTTGCAAGCTCTAAAAATCATATATGGATAAAGAAAATCAGAATTCACAACTTAATATACTATTTCGTTTATAATTCATAGTGTAAATTTATAAATCTATTCACAGTTTAATATACTAATTCGTTTATAAATCTATCCACAGTTTAATATACTAATTCGTTTATAATTTACAGTTTAAAATACTAGTTTAGATGCTCATTCACAACTTAAAAGACATAAAAGATTAGTTTATAAATCTATTCACGGCTTAATATGCTTAATATATTAGTTCAAATACACATTCACAGCTTAACAGATACATTCTTTTCATTGAGGTATTTCATCAAACACATTTTTTACATCTGATTTAATAATATTTCTATGTAAACATTATCATATGAGATCCAACCAAAGAAAAAATACACAAAGATGGTGGTGGTACCGTTGTTGGCCAACTTGAAGTGCACAATAATCACCAAATCTACAACTGAAATATATCAAACACATCAGATCTGATGTAGATCTGGTGGTGTATCACCAAATATCAAATAGAAGAGATGAAGGCTACCTGATGGGGTTTCACCGGAGCGACGAGCGGCAGAAGCGACGACGATTAACGTCGCCAGTGTTAGAGCTTATCAGATACGTCAAATCTATTGTAGTCTACTTTTTTTCACCATATATCACGTAGAAAGAGATGTAGTAATCAAGCTCATCGTGTTTCCCTGAAGCGAAAAGGAAGCAACTATGGTAACCGTTGACGGCGATGGTGGTGTTTGACGGTTTTAGATCTCAAATATGTCACATCTGATGCAGATCTAGTCGATTGTGGCCAGATATCATGAAGAAAGAGATGGAGAACAACTCATCGTGTATCACCGGAGCAAAGAGGTAGCGACGACGGTTGTCGGTGTTGATGTTCGGCAATGGAGTTTTTACTCCAGATCTGATATCAGTAGGGGTCAACGGAGTATTTGAAGAGAAATAAATTGACAACTTGACATTTCGACGAGTGAAGGTGGTAGGTGACGGCGACTGTAGGCAGAAGGTGGTGGTGGCAGGTGGTGGCGGCAAGTAGCTGAATTAGTGTTAGGGTTTATCTTCTTGGGAGAGTTTGAAAGAATTTTCTTGCAAAAAAAGTTTGGAAAGTGTTTGAAATGTTATTAGATTTTTAGCTATTTATCAACATTAAAAAAAAAATCAAATAATAAAATTAATGGTTCTTAGGGTTCTTATTATTTTAGGGTTCTCATTTGAACTTTTTTTTTTCTCTCTCTTTATATATATATATATATATATATATATATATATATATATATATATATATATATATATATATATATATATATCTATATATATATATAGTCCCACCCTAGGTCTGCCCATATAACCACGCTTTCAAACATCCTAAACAAACATGTAAAAATGTAAAGCATAAGTTTAAGGAATTAAATGTCACTAGTCGAAACTAAAGGACACCATATGTAAATAGTTGTAAACTATCTCAATAACTTTTGCAAGTGTCTCTCACATATTATAAGAATAATTGGAAGATAATTTTTTTTTTAAATAAACACATTACAATTGAAAATTTCGAGCCACACAATTGAAAATTTCGAGCCACAGAAGGCTAAGTTTCATTATTAATAAAAGGTGAATTTACAATGAAAAAAAAAAAGAAATTATAAATAGAACAAAATTAGGATAAATCTAATTAAGAAAATTTGTTGAAATTTGGTTATAGAAAGTACAAAAATAAGTGGATGCATACAACATATAAATTAAACGTTAAGTATATGATTGTTCCTTAAAGAACGTCGTTATCAAGCCACCTCATAAGCATGCTTAAACATTCTTTAGGTTTATACTCCGGAGCTGTATGGCCTCCTCCCTTTAACAACATTAAAAATTGTCAACCATCAAGATCACATCAACTTATTTTTCTTTTGTCTCATGAAGTTTTCAAAACATAGGTTCAAAATTTTATTTTACTGCATAGTTGGTTTCAGGATAATATACTTGCATTGGGTTGAAGTTTCAGTAGCTAACAAGTGTGGGAGAGGCTCTTTGTGGGCACTCGGTGTTTATGCCAACACTTAATAGGTCAGTGTTTACACTGATTTAGATATCATATTATGCTCTTTTAATGAGACGATATGGTCAAACTCAGTGTTGCTAGGAAAATAATCCTTTTGTATATTTTGTTGTAGTTGTCAAAGTCAACCTATTTTAGTAAGTCAAACATTGAAATTTTCATGAGGCAAGAGAAGTGGTGAGTGAGAAGAGGATATGAGGAAGATATCTCACCTTTACAGTAGCATATGTCAAGTTGTAGTTCTTGTTCGAGTATTTTCATGGTGTATCTGTAACAAAATAAGATAGCAACATATTTTTTAAAAACAAAATACTTCTATATTTAAAATTTTTAGATGATTAAAAGCCAATGAAAATGCAACTAACCCGGCTACTTGTTCATCAACAAAAAAAGGTCTCCAATCATTCACAACTAACAGATTTAACGATTCAATCCAGTTAATCGTAGCCATATATGGAATAACCATGTCATGATCTCCACTGTAAATGTACAGGTTTGCATTAAAGTTCTCAAAATACCACATGCTCCATGAATAAGGTCGACAACAAGTGAACTCTAGTTTTATATATAAGTGTTATTGTTCCACAAAGATGGCTTACACCAAGTATCATGTGAGATATAAATTAAGTAAATAATGGTCCTTTAGGTATGTGACATATTGTCAGGTATATAATTCATGTTACATGGGTACATAAGAGTCTAGTGCCCACAAGAAGTTAAAATCCACATTAGAGTTAAAACCCCCACATTGAAGTTGTTTTGAATAAAACCCTTAACATTTTTTTTCATAAATACCACTTGGGAACCAAGTTTTATGCATCATTCGGGTTCAAGTGGACTCTAGTTTTAGGTTAAAAAGATCAGATATAAGATAATAGGAGAAAGAGATGGATGAAGAGTAACACCTATATACAAGAGCTCGACAATTTTTATCAATAAGCTTTCGATGATAGGAAACTGTACTTATGACATTGTGCGTGTAAGATATTGGTTCCGTATCAGTACTAAAAACCAAGGTTTCATTGCATCGTACCCACTCGATTCCATTTAACTCCTGGTGATCATGAAATTAGTATCATATATAATCAAGTTGAATATGAATAATAGAACTCGTTGTGAACTACAAACCTCAGGAATGTGAAGAGCCTCTTGCACATCTCTTCTATTAGCCCATATTGAGGAGTACACATAGTTGTCATCCTGCCACAAGTATAAAAAAGAAAGAATAAATGTATGATACTTGTGAATATCTCATATGTAAATGCATACTACCAAACAAAAATTGCATCTTTTTCTTGTTAAAAAAACAAGAAAAGAAAAGCGATAAAACGAAACAAAGAATTAACGTGGATGTGACGTACAACGAGTAGGATCCAGATAACCCTTCTATTACTCTTGGCTATTTTCAAAGTGATTACATTGGAATCCATATCTATGAATACTTATAACCATAAAACCCAAAAAACTATTGCGACGTCAAGCCAATAAACAAGGAATCTAGAATAACTAAGCAGGTCCAAACACTTATCCCTTCAAAATCGCCATTTAGATTTCTTCACTTTGTTTGGGATTGGGTTACTTATTTGACTCATTAAAATCCAAGCCACACTCTAAAAATCTTCATCGTGAATTGAAGTGTGCTCAACGATGAATGATTCCAAATAGTCATCTCCTTCCTGCCGGTTTGCCTCAAAAGGACTATCTCCTAAGAATATTTGCAAATCAAACTAATACTTGAACTTATTCATTGGTAGCGCCTTTGTTAACATATTTGCCAGGTTCTCTTTAGTAGCTGTATTCAAAATAGAGAACCTATTTTCTTCAAGAACATCATGAACGGAATTCATCATGACATAAATATCCTTTGTTTTATTAGTATAAAATATATTCTTTTCCATTATTAAAGATGGTTGTTACAATACGAAGTATGATTCTCCAACTTCACATCAAGACTACATGTGACCATGTAGCCATATGCATTCCGTAATCCCTACGGTCAATGACTTGTACTACACCTCAGTTGTTAAAAAGACAATTGTTAGCTGCAATGTTTCCTTCCAACTAATAGCACACCCAAACAAGGTAAAAATATAGCATGTAAGTGATTGTATCTTCATCAAGTGTCCACCACAATATGAATCTACATAGACAATAAAACCAATACTACCTTTTTTAAGCTAGACATATATTAGGCATTCCTTTTAAGTATCATCTAATCCATTGACAGCTTTCCAGGGAGTCTTCCTTAAATTACTCATAAACTTGTTACTAAGTGCATAAGCCATATCAAATCTAGTACAAACATATCATACATAAGGCTTCCAACAGCATTGGAATATGGAACTTTTCTCATGTAACATTTCTTCTCATATGTATTTGGTATTGTGTTGTGGTCAAGTATAAAGTGTGCCGCTAAAGGTGTACATACTGATTTGGATAGATCAATATAGAATAATTTTAAGACTTTCTCAATATATGTTTGTTGAAAAACGTATAAGACTTCCTCAATATATATTCATATAACAACCATGCTCTTCTATCTATCCAAATCTCTATGCCTAGTATCTTCTTTGTTGCATCTAAATCCTTCATCTTGAACCCATTTTCCAATAAAGTTTTCAATTCATTAGTTGCATCTATATTGTTAACTGAAATTAACATGCCATCCACATATAGAAACAAATATATATATATATATATATATATATATATATATATATATATATATATATATATATATATATATATATATATATATGAACCATCAATATCTTTTTTTCATGTAGACACAGTTATCAAACTAGTTTCAATAATAGTCATGAGAAACCATAAATGAATCAAATATATGGTACCACTGTCTTAGGGACTATTTCAAACCATAACGAGATTTCTACAACAATCAAACATGATCATTCTTGGTATCAATAAACCCTTCTGGTTGATATATATATATATATATATATATATATATATATATATATATATATATAACCTTCTAAATTACCATGTAAGAATGAAGATTGGACATCAAGCTGCTAAAGCTCAAAATTAAATGCACCAACCATGGCCAATATAGCCTGAATTGTCTTGTGTTTTCAAATAGGCAAGAAAATTTCATGATAGTTGCTCCCTTCATTTTGTGAGAAACCCTTTACCACTGGACTTTCTTTTAATCTCGTTGATACAACACCCATAATTCATTCTTTCCTTTCAAGGACCTATTTGCATGCTATTAGTTATGCTCTATTTTTTAACAGTACTAGATCCCATGTTTACTTTTTCTCTAGCAGTTGTATTTATGCATTCATTTCTACCAACCAATATGATGCTTCTTTACATAAAATAAAATCTTTACATGATTTCATCTCATCCGAATTGATATCACTTGCAACTGCCAGTGCATATGCAATTGAATATTTCACAAGTATTGACACATCGTGTATATTTGGCAGGCTTTTGAACTTTCGTCTTTTGCTTCTTTTTCATTATAGATTATGACTCATTTTATTTATTCTCATCATCACCCATGACTAGGCTCTCCCTCTTTATGTTCATCGTGGGACTCTTCTTTCTTAGTATCTTTATCATGGAGTTGTTATTGATCATCTATCACAACTCTATTTGGAGTTCTTGTTTCAAACTTCACCTTTTAGGTAGCACCATGGTCTTTTACCCATATAATATTTATAATTTCTTATCTCTAATCACAGATAGAGGATTCATAAAAGGCAACATCTATGCTACTTATAAATATTAGAGTTATATTAGAGTTTTACCTTCTTCTGTATGTTATAGTCGATAACCTTTAACTCTAGCAGCAAATCCTAGAAATATGCACTTCATAACTCTGAACTCCAGTTTACCACCATTAAATGAGCATAAACAAGGAAACAAATATACATCGAGGATAAGAACAAGAGGGTTTAATGGACTAAACCTCTTTAGGAGTCTTCCAATCATTTGTAATTGATAGAGATCTATTTACTAGATATCAAGTAATATTCAATGCTTTGGCCCAGAACTACTTTGATATACCAATATATATATACATGTATACATCTTCCATGTTGCGTTAGTGTTTGGTACATATGTTCTGCAACCCCATTTTGTTGTAGAGTGTATGGTACAATATAGTTCCTGAATATACCTACGTTTTACATAAGTAATTGTAATATGCCTACCTTTTACACAAGTCATCAGTGCATTGTAAAACTCTAATCCATCATTTGTTTTGAGTGTCTTGACATGTTTCCCTATTCGTTTTTCAACCATGATCTTCCGCTCCTTGAACCGCCCAACACCTCGTCTTTTGGTTTTAAAAAATACAACCAAACATTTCTTGAGTAGTTATTAATAACAGTCATGAAATATGAGCATCCGCCACATGAATTCATTGGAGAAGTCCCATATAAATTTGAATGAATATTCTCAAGGATTTATTTGGTCATATGCTTGCCAGATCTGAAATTGACCATGTGTTGCTTTGCCGTGACACAAGCTTTGTAGTATTTCATCTTCCCAGTTATGTCCACCAAGCAATCCATGTTTATCCGAGATTGAAATTCCCTTCTTGCTCATGTGACCCGTCGGTGATGCCATAATTTTGACTATCATCACACTTTTTCAAATATTAATAGACAACCACCTTTCATGTCACTAAGCTGTCTTCCAGAAAGTAAATCCCATGTTATAGTTTCCTTTTCATCACCATGAGAGCACTTTTTGTGAATTTTAACCGATCATCTTCATCATAATACCTGTGTACATGTTTGGATAAATATTCAACAGAAATCAAATTATTCAGAAGATCTGGAATATACTAGCAATCTAGGTTTCTGACCATACCGTTATGCATTTTAATCTTTAATATGCCATTATCCTTGATACTCCATATCCCATCATCACCAAACTTTACTGTGCCAGTCCGTTTCTTGAAAGAAAAATAGATTGAGTGAGAAAGTCATATGATGAGATACATATTTGTCTAAAATCCAAGTGTCTGCAAAACCAACCATACATACAGCTAAAATGTCGCTTATGTCTCATTGCGTCGTGGACAATCCCTTTTGAAGTACCCTTATTCTTTACACGATAACATTTAAATTATGTGGAGACATTAGACTTATATCGTGAATTTCCCCTGTTTCCAACCTCCCTGTTTTGTATTTTACCCTTACCAACAAACAAAAATGAACTGAAACCCCCTCATTACCAAAAACTCCACGTTTCAGTTCCTTAGATAAGAAGGTATCCTTCCAGTCAAAGGTAGTAATCTTTGTTCTACTATATTACATGGTATCAAGAAATTCCCATATAATTTCGACAGAGAACACAAAAAAATAAAATCTTGATCCTCATTTTTAAAGTTACCATCAACACCTTGTTTATCAAGAATAATATGACTAAAATTGTCCCGATGATCTTTTACATCAGTACTTTCTGTCATCCGAATGATATACAAATGTTGTTTCTGATACAACCAATCTGTGAGAGAGTTATTTTAACACTTTTCCCACAGTTTCTCCCAATGCCCAAAAGCAGTTGGTTGGTCCACAACCTCGTGTAGCACTTCATCAGTTGCACTATGTGCTTTTGTGTTAGGTCTAATAAAGTGTTGTGTCAAATGTATGCTATTAGGGTTTGTTTATTACGAAATTTGGGCCTGTCCATGTCCGGTTTTAGTATCTAAATAGTCTATATAAATAGGGTGCATGTAACTTTAGGGTTACAACTTTTGAAGCTCTCACAGAAAAGTTCTGTATTCAAGAACTCTTCTAGAGCTATGATTAATACAATCATTCAACACCTTTATGATCATTATTGTTTCTTTACTTTTATTCATCTCATTAATATAGAATCTATCGATCTTTAATATTCTCACAATTGGTATTAGAGCAGGAGATAGTGTAATCAATTCGATAATCTTTTGTCGAGTAAAGGGTTTTGTATTAGGGTTTTACGATTTTCAGAGATCTGTTCTTGTTGTCTCAATCGTATCAATCGGTTGTAGATTCCAGATCTAGATCTCTATTTTACCCTAGAACTCGATTCTAGTTTACACATCTGATTATATATATATATATATATATATATATATATATATATATATATATATATATATATATATATATATATATATAATATATATCTTGATTTCTCGTTATTATGGCTCACGACGATCTTCACTATCTTTCATTCAA